TTCCCTCCCCCACCTCCCCTACCCATGCTGGCATTGCTTAGCTCCCAGCTATCCACAGGAGTTGGGTGCAGAGCAGTGCTGTGACTTGAGAGCTCCCTGCTTCCTCACCCAGCCTGGAGCTGGCTGGGGCAGGTCCCAGCCAGCTTCAGGCTGCACGAGGAGTTTCCTGCATAAACCAGGTCTGGCCAGGAACTATTCTGTTCTGGGGCAGGTCCCAGCCAGCTCTGGGCTGCCTGAGAAGTTCCCCGCCCAGCCTGGAGTTGGCTGGGAACTGTCCTGCTTCTGGGAACTGTCTGGGACCTGCTCTAGGCTGGGCCGGGAACCCCTTGGGCAGCTCCAGGCTGCACAGAGAAGCCTCACAGGGCACAAGGCTTGTTCCCATGGGTAAGGGGTGGGAGAGCTCTGCAGAAGCAGCTGTCTCCTGGCCCCGTGCACATCAGGACACTCCCCAACAGAGCAGCTGGCAGAGCTCTCTTGGCTTTGTGCACATGGGGACCAGCCCCATGCTCTCTTCCGTCCCCTGTGCTAGCACCCAGGGGGAGCCTGGAGCTCCCCCTGGCTGCTGGAGAGAGGCAGAGCAGGGCAGGAACAGCCCTGTACCAGGCTGCTCCCATTGAGAGCAGATCTGCTCCCAAGAGGGAGTGTGTGTAGTTGTACTCCTGGGTAGGCTTACTGTGCAGAGTTTTTACTGTGCAGTAAGTCTACTTCAAATTAATAACACATGTAGGCATGCCCACTGGGCATAGGCTGGAATGAACTATGGTGTGATGCTGACACCGTTCTGGCCATCCTACCTCTCATTGTACTGCTGTTGGGTGAGGGCAACTGGACTTCATTTTCCTGGTCCCTACCTTTTCTTAGGTGAAGGTGAGGGGCTCATCCACTGCTGTGAGAAAGGAGGAGATAGGAACAAGTGGCATTCTCCTCTCAACAGTGCCACAAAAATCTCTGTTGCCTTCAAGAGAGCTGTATGAGCTTGTAGGGAATCATTGCTTAGCTCTGAAGGTCTTCTACGCTAAGTACAGACAGTCAAAAAGCCCGAGGCTGCATCAATTCAATCTTTGCAGGTTAGTCTAAGATGCGGAGATTGAACTGAGAAGCAAGTGAACACACGTTCACTTTTGATTCCAGATATGCAGCCACGTGTCTTCAGTGGCTCAGGCCAGAAGCCAGAGGGTGCTAGAGCATGTCTTCCTGCTTGGCTGGAGCAGACAGCTTGGACCAAGGCTAGCCCACCCAGCCTGTGCAATGAGGTTTGTCAGGAACGTGCTAAAGTATTCTGGGATGCTGGGGGCAGTGAGTTAACTTTAATCTGGAGGGGATTTGGGACAGAAGTTCAATAACCTGATTTAACCTAAATCAGTTAAGTCTGATCCTACATCTATCCAGTGTTCTCTTAAACCGGTTTTGGCCATTTTGAAAGTGGTTTACGTGCACTGAACTTCTGTTATGTTACAGATTTGAACTGGTTTCCAATCACTTATACTGGTTTATGTGTAATTTCTGTCCTTAGCCCTAGTGGCATCAGATCTTCCTTTCTCAGTATGGAGGGCTGTCTTCTCTTTTCAAGGAGGAATATGTAATTAAATCTCCTTCTGTCCTTAGCAGCAAGGAGAAGTTTTTCCCAGTCACCAAGAAGAAAAGAAAACAGGGATGAGTTAGCAATAGCAGGATAAGTTACTAACACAGTTCCTTTTTTATAAAAACCAAGATTTTTCTTGAACTACTACTGATTTTTAAATGGATAATAAGACCAGTGAGGACAGCCCACTTTTAGGCTGGCTTAATTTAGGGACCCAAAAACCTTAGTGCTGTCCTTTTGAGCTATGCATAGGTAGTTCAGAGAAGGGAGTTTTTCTTTGGCTATAAGCTAGAGGAGTTAGCTAGCTTCTGTTGTTAAAAGATGTTTCTGTTCCTCTGCTAGTCTATGAAGAGATATCCCTGTCGGCAGTGCGAGAGTTCATTCAATGCCTCCAACAGTCTGCGCAAGCACATTCGCAATAATCATGATACAGCAAAGAAAGTTTACACGTGCTGGTGAGTACCCATTGCTGCTTTCTGGAGATTATCTTCTCTATCAAGTTTAAAAGCTCCTTATAATGGATCCTGTTTACTCCAGGATATAAAATTGCTTTGGGAGACAGTTAAGAGGAGGAGTGTACTAGATGCAAGTGACTTGTTGTCTAAGATAAGTAGGGGTGCACTGATAGGGATTTTTTGGGTAAATGCTGACGGATGGTTTTTAAGGAGCCATATCGGCTGATAGCAATCCAATTCCAATATGCAGCCTGGCAGGCTGGAGACCAGTGTCAGGCTGGTAAGTCTGGTGTGGGGGAAGGGGTGGGGGGGGGAAGGGGCATGGGGGTGGCAGATCAAGGCCCCCGTGGTGAGGGAGGGAATGGGGCTGGGGCAGGTGCTGCTCAGCCTGGGAGGGGTGGGTGCAGGATGGAGCTGCGAGCAGCTTATCTGGAGGGGTGCCAGTGGGGGCAGCTCCTGCCTTGCACGCACCCTGGGAGGGCGCTGAGGGTACATGCCCCCAGATCTGTGTGTGAGGCAAGAGCAGGTTGCCACTGTGGACTGGGACTGGGGCAGCGCCAGGCTCTTCCTGGTGGGGGTGTTGGGCTGGGGACTGTGCCCGGTGTGGGCGGGGGTGGGGGCTGCAGTCATCCCAAAATTCACCATAGCCCCCCTGCAACTCCTAGCTCTGCTGCCACCACCCGCCCCCAGTGCAGCCTGGCCCAACACCCCCACTGGGAAGAACCAGGACTGTCCTGGCCCTAGCCCACCCTCACCTTGTACACAGATCCAGGAGCACATGGGCCCCATGCCCTCCCAGCCCCCATGCCCTCCCCCCCGCTGTGTCCCCCCAGACAGGCCGCTCACAGCTCCATCCCGTGTTTTACCCCACCCAGGCTGTGCAGCGCCTGCCCCTTT